GTATAGTTTATTAGCAATAATTAGTAAAAATATAGTACCTGATGATTCCAGTATAGAAGTTGTAGATTTAACCAGTCCAAATACTACCTTTGATGATGATATTGGTTACGAAGATGCACTAGAGGATGAGCTTATTACTCGACAACCTAAATGTAGAAAAATCAACATTAATATTCCACAAAACTGTAATAATCTTGAAAATTGCGTTAAAGCAGCACTATATCAGTCTATTAATCACTATTGGAAAATCCCATAAGAGCAAGGAATGTTGGCTGCTTTCTTAGATCTACGATTCAAAAGTTTAAAATTTGCTTCTAAATTATTACGCATTAAAACTCATGAACAATTAAAAGATGACTATCAAATTATGAAAAACTTAACTAATGAAGATCAAGAAACTGAATCTAGACCCACTTTATCAAATTCATTGTTGGCAAGAATGTTTCAAAATGATCACACTTGTATTGATGAAGTAGCTAATTATTTGGCTTTACCTGAAATTCACCCCGATGATTGTCCTTTATTATGGTGGAAAATTAATAAAACTCGATTCTCAGTATTATCAAAATTAGCAAGAAAGTACTTGACAATTCTAGCTACTTCTACTCTGAGTGAAAGGCTTTTTAGTGAAGCTAGCAATATTATGACCATAAAAAGAACACAGTTAGCGTCAAATACATTAGAAAATTTAGTTTTTTGTAAAAAAAACTAGCGCTTAGTTAGAGGTATTTTTCCATTAAGATTTGAGAAATAATTGAATATATAATAAATGTAAAATTATAAATGAATAAAGCCAATCACATTAAAGAAATATAAATAATTAAAATTGATTTTGTAATTATCCGTCTCAGATTTATTTGTACTAAGAACTGAATTATCCATTACGGGTTTATTCGGATTTACTCAGATTTCTCACGGATAGCAATCCGTATCCGTAACGAAGTTTGTGAGTTATCTGTTAACAGATAAACAGATATCCGGATCAGACCACTACTTGCTATAAATCACTGAAATTACTAAAAACGCTATAAATCACTAAACTGTTATAAATTGCTATAAAGCCGTAAAATGGTTAAAACTAATAACTATTCTGGCTTAAATCCTGTAGTAATATAGGCATTAAATAATTTACAATATAGGTATAGTGATGAAAGCTCAGAAATGTGGTGTTCTCGTGTTCGTTATCCATTTAAGAAACTTCTTGAATATAATCCAAAATACTTCTCCAAGAATAGATTTATTCAAATGATTGAAAGATCATATAAAGATGGGGAATTTAAAGCTGAGAGACGCTCATTTCATATTTATTGCAATGTATGCGACTCCTTGGTGTTTATCCATAAAAATAGCATTGAATGAACAAATATTCACCTAAATGAATGTATTGCTAAAACAGTCAAAAGACAGATTGCATATTCTAAACTTATACAGAAAAGTGTGAAAAAAAGAGGAACACTAAGCCAAAAGAGTGTATTATTGCTTAGTTCTGATGAGATAGATAAGATTTATCGAATATATTGTTTTACATTAAGTAAATGCTGGACTAAATATAGTTATCACTATTCATCTGAAGATAGGAAAAGGGTTGTAAATCGTTTAATCGATAGTGCAAAAGTTGTCTAACGAGTTTGAAGAGCTTTCAAGTTAAGACCTGAAATATGAGCAAAACGAGTTTGAAATATGGTGAGAAATGATGGTATTCCTGACGAGAAGAAGTTTTTAGGTATAACTCCTCATAAAATAAGAGTTCCTGATAATCGATATATAGACTATATATGGGATCCCAGTTATCTTCTGGCAGGAATTAATTATGGAGATAGAATTCAAGTTAAAGATATACCTGCATATTATCAGAATCTTCCTATATTATATGATCATTATACTCCACAAAGCTGGGCAGAAAAGAAGAGAGATCAGTTATGGAAACGATTAAATAATGTAACATATATAGTTGTTTTTATAGAACTACATCTGCAAGGCTATAGAATCGTTAAATATTATGGTTGGTTTTATATGTTAAAGTGGCTATCAAATCCTGAATATTACTATATTAATAAATACTATAATAATGGCAATGTAAACTTCGTTAAAAGTTCAGAATATGCATGATATAAGATGTGCAAATCACATGGCAGAGCGGATCCATGCAATTCGCTAGAAATTGACTATTATAAATCTGGACGTCTCACCATTGAGGGAAACTTAATAGTATAGATTTCTTAGATTCGAAAAATAATTGTGAGTATGTGCAATGAGTTTTCCGAGCTATAGATTCTTTACTAAAATAGTATATTACATATTTATTATAATAATACAATAAATTAATCCTTTCTTTTTTGTATAGATCGCCTACTGAATGTACCACCTGTGAAGGAGAAATAAAACACATGATTTTGATCGGGGCTGATCGACCTGAGCTATCAAGAAAGGGAAATGTATTATATTAGCTCCATATTTACCTACGCCTTACAAATAACCAATGCATGTAAAGCAAGTATGACAAAAATAAATATGTTCCTGATCCTCATTAAAGCTTATGAAGTACATATATAATGTAATGATGATATACTGCTAATCATCTGTGTGAGTGCGACTATTTGCTTATACGACAAATTAATTTTTACACATAAGAAATCGATCCCCAAAAAATATTTTGAATTTTTTCCCTATCTATCTGAATAGCATTTATTTATGAGTTTATTTCCTCCAATGCTAGAGTCTATTTTTACTAGATTTCGATCAGAGTGTATTTGTATAATACTATTAGGCCTTTATTACTGAGCGGTCGAGCAAGTGAAATAAAAAAGAAGGTATATGCATCACCTCTAACACTTTTGTAAATGTCAAGATCTTCAATGCACATTCCATATACCCTTATTCTCTAACACAAAATTTTTGACGTAAAGTCTGTTACATATTCTTCTGTCCTTTTTTCACCATAAATACAAGCCTAGAGGGTCGTAAATAAAGTCATTTAAAAGGGAAGTATAGTGAAATTATTATACCTTTACGTTATTTTTTTACTTCGTCTAGCAAGCTTTTCACTAACATTTAACTTCTTATTCTATCTAAACATGGAAGAGTTCCTTTTAACCAGAGAACCCCTCGATATCGTCAGAATATCCATAGCATTATATATATGAGTAGAACAAGGTGAATGGACAGACGTCCTTAAAAAGGAGGTGGAGAACTTTGAAAATGTTTTGGAATGAGTTTTAGAACAAGTTCTCTCAGATGATGTTGAGCGAAAAAAAAAGCTTCGAAGTTTTGGTACCGGGAAAAAATTAGCGAAACGGGTAAGACAGTAAACAATAATCATGGTAGATATGTGGATATGATATCACGTATTTCTTTAGATTTTCTGGCATATTTATTAGTGAATGCGCTGTGTTCAATGTGATATCACTTTTACATAGCAGTAACTAGTAATATATGCATAGTGAGGTTCATTTCCGGCTGGACTTCTGCTAGCATTCTGATACCATATGAAAATGGAAACCTAATCTGATCCTGCGAAAAATACTTCATTTAATTTATCAAATATATCATTAGCTTAATCTAAGATACTACATTTTAGGTAACGACTGCATTTGAAGATTTATGTTCGCTTACAGGGATAAAAGCTGTGGTAATAGATGCTGAGTCATGGCCTGAAGATGCTAATGCAAACTTACAGCTTTTAAAACGTAATATTGAGCTGGCCATAAATAATACTTCTGGTTACGAGAAAACTATATAGGAAAGAATTGAGATGGACTTAGAAGAAGTTGATATTGAAAGCCTTGGGTTCGACCATCCTATATGTTCTGGAGTTCTTGATATTAGATCCGAACCTTTCACAGAGATGCCTGTTTCGTTTTGCAATATTTTTAAGAAACCTTTTCAAGAATATAAGTTAGAATATAGTAATATAATTTTGGATAGCTGTAAGAAGTTTATTTATAATGAGGAGTCAAAAATAAATTTGGATGAAGATTTGCATGACGTGGAATTTGAAAAGTGGCTAGATAGTACTGAAAAGCTTCAAGAAATAACAAGACGAATACTAGAGTCTTTGTAAGTTATTTTTTAGGTCATATCTTAGAATTTT